ACAGCTGGCTGCTAAACATTTTTTTTGTGTACATAGTTCGAGAATTTTTTGCAGCCGGCTTTTAAATTTGCCATAAATATTTAAAACTTTATTAAAATATTAGAACATAAATTGTTTCCATGGAAACTGAACTGGAAATAATAGATTCCCTAAATGCGCTCGACTACAAGGGCAAGTGTGTGCAAAATGATGAGCTCAGTCGTGCTGTCGAGGGTGGTACACGCAGCGTAGAATTTCGTGAAGTTGTGGCATGGCTGGCACAAGAATTGCACATTTTGCGAAAAAACCGATGAATCTGTAAGTAAAGAATGTGATGATCCCAGTGAATTTGCCATGGAGTTGTCGGCCATGCTGAAGGAGTTGGGCTGTCCTTTCAGTCGTTTTGTGACCGGACCACTGTCGGAGAGATTTGAGACTAAAGAGGATAGATTGCAGTTGATAGATTATTTAATAACTGAATTAATGGCCACTAAAATGGCATTGCGTTTGAAGCCTGCTGAGCAGTCATACGTAATACCGAAGAGTGAGACCAATACTGCCAGGGCATTGGAATCGTTGACCAAAGATTTATGTTTGGGCAAGCCACCAGATAATATTGCACCTAAGGCTCTGTTCGATAAGTTGAACTTTAAGGTGGAGGAGCGTTTAAGATCGGTAAAGCCGGGAGTGGTAAGTGAACCTTTACTTAAGACTAATAAACCATTGACGGATGCTCAATGGAAAAAGTTACAGGAGATCTATGAAGATCTCGATAAAGAGTATAATTTAAGAAGGCAGGTTCTCTTGACACGTCTAGAGGTAACCGTGCAAAGTTTTCAATGGTCCGATAAAATGAGATCGCGTGAAAATGAAATTGTCGAAAGATTCCAAAAGAAATTAAAAGATATGGAACATTTAAAATATGGTGGTGAAGATACGAATATAGTAGCTCTGTTGGCGGCTCGTTCCGATTTGGCTATTATAGAGAAAACCAGTTCGGCCAATGTGCGCAAGAATACGGCTACGAAAATACAAAAACATGTCATAGGTAGTGTACCCGATCGTGGTGGTAGAGCTCATGAGCATGCACCACCACCTCCCGAAATGCCTTCATGGCAACAGCAAAGAGCTTCTGGTCCTGGGGGACGTGGTGGTGGTGGCAATTTTAGAGGCGGTAGAGGAGGTGGTGGCGGCGGCGGCGGGGGTGGTAACTGGCAACAGAATGCCCAACCTCAGCGACAACCTCAACAGCATCATTATCAAGCTCAACAGCAACATCAACAAAACTATGAACAGCCTCAACGTGATCAAAATTGGATACAGGGTAGTGGCCGCGTTCAAGGTTCTGGCTGGACTCAACGAGGCCAAGATCATCATCAAGGAGGAGGTGGTGGTGGTGGAAATTATCAAGGCGGTGGCAATCATTATCAAAGTAATGATCGAGGCGGCGGTCATTATCAACAAAATGATCGTGATAATAATCGTGGTGGCGGTGGTGGAGGCTACCGAGGACGCTCAAATTATAATCGTGGTGGCGGCGGAAGTGGTGGCCACAGACGTTAAAAAGGATGAATACTAAGAATCGAAGTTTTCGAATAAATATATATTATGGATGCCGATGAGAACTCACAAAAAAATAAATTAAATATCAGCATTTAATTAAATTAAAGTGATACACTAATTAAATATTACAAAAATAAACAGAAATAAAAAGAAAAACATTTGTTTAGCTATATCCTTGAACTAGTATATAGATTGTCCGGATTAAACAGAATTTAGAACAACTTGAGCACGAACCTAATTTAACAAAATGAAAAAAAAAATTAAGCGGAATTAGACCAATAAGAATATTTGCTCCCTTAATTAGGTCTTTAAAATTTCGATCTTATTTCGAAATATGTACATCCGATCAAGAAACTTTATATTTAAAAAATCCAATTTGTAACTTTTGTTTTTTAAACCCCTTATTCACAAACAACATTTTTATTTTATAAAAGGTTTATAAAACAAAATTTCCATACAAAATCTAATTTATAAACCGTTTATAAAATAAAAATTTTGTTTGTGAATAAGGGGGAAGTATTTTGTATTTTAAATAAGAAACCAAAATGATTCCATTCACATAAAAGTAGTATTTTTATTTATTAATATAGTTTTCTAACTTATCTTATTCACAACAACAATTTCATTATATTTCCAACATATTTGCATTGCAACGCACCAGGCGTTGATTCCAATCTCCCGTATTCGATTTTCTATTCAAATTCAAAGTCACCGTCAAACGTCTAAAGTCGGGAACATTACCCTGATCTCCTTGTGGACTTTGAGTATTCACCTGCTGCAAGCGTTCGGGTAATTTTCTTAATTGTAGTTGTCGTATTAATACCTTTATGGTTTGTAAACGAAATTCTTTTGGATTCACGGCTGCTTCTGATCCATAGCTTGGTTTCATTAGTATGGAATGGCGTAGCATGCTAAATAAACGTGTTATATTATCGCGCACTTGCTGTGTTGATATAACCATATTCAATTGGGACTCCAGCCAGTAAATTAAATCATTGAAAAATTGTGAACTGGCACCAGCACGTATGGCCCATTTGAGTAAATTTAAATTTTCACATGGGCCACAATAGCCACAGGCCAGTAGGGATTGTTTTAAATCGTACATTTACTGCTTTTTTTGTATAGAAAAAATGACAAAGTTATTAAAAACGTGATGAAAAAAGGATGAAATGATAATTTTTATTACTTTTTGTTATTATTCGAAATATAACGGTATAGTCTAGAAGATCATATGTTTTTCGAAAATGACAAGGATGCCAACATATTTTTTTTAGCTTAAACTGCTGACTTTCACAAACTATTTAGGAGATTTTCCTCAAATTGTTTAAAGTTTGAAATTTTTTTTATTTCTTAAGAATCAGAGTACCTAATTAGTCTAAAACTTATTAATTTTCTTAAATTTTTTACAGACCAAAAAAATGAATTATTATTAGAAATCTGACAAACTTTATACAAAAATAAAATTTGATTAAAAAGGACGCTGCAAAGATTTACGTTTGGACAAGTCATCATAAAATAGCTGTTTTTGATAAACTTAACTGAGGATCGTTTGAGAACTTTTAAGTTATAAGGTGTATGAGGTAAGTGAATCTATAGTTAAGATTGATAAACATTTGTCTAATGCTCAGGTAAATTTATAAAAATATATGGGGATCTCGATAAGACGTTTCACTGAAACTTCTAATTTTCACACAAAAATTCTAGTTTTCACTAAAAAATCAAATTTTTCACTAAAAATCGAATTTTTCACTAAAAACTAAATTTGTTACAAAAAATCCAATTTTTTACAAAAAATAATTTTTTTTTACAAAAAATAAATTTTTTTACAAAAAAACATCGATAATAGTTTAAACTATAGTCTAACTGTAAACTAGACTATAGTCTCAGCTAGAGTCTGAACTATATGCTAGAATTTAGGCTCAACTTTAGACTAGACTATAGCCTTTACTATAGACTACACTATAGTCTAAACTATAGACTATACTGAAGACTAGACTATAGCCTGAACTATATACAACAGTCTGAACTATAGACTAGACCATAGTCTGAACTGTAGACTAGATTATATAGTCTAAAGTCTGAACTATAGACTACACTATAGTCTGAACTATAAACTATACTAAATACTAGACTGTAGCCTGAACTATAGACCAGACTATAATTTGACCTATAGAATAGACCATAGTCTTAACTGTAGACTAGACTATATAGTTTGAACTATAGACTAGACTGTAGATTAAAAAACAATGTGGACTATAGTCTAGTCTATACTAAAGATTAGACTATAGACTAGATTATAACCTGAACTGTAGAATAGACAATAGTCTGAACTATAGGCTAGACTATAGTCTGAATAATAGACTAGACCATAGTCTGAACTGTAGACTAGACTATAGTCTAGTATATACTATAGACTACACTATAGTCTAGTCTATACTATAGACTACACTATAGTCTGAACTATAGACTATACTAAATACTAGACTATAGCCTGAACTATAGGCCAGACTATAATCTGACCTATAGAATAGACCATAGTCTTAACTGTAGACTTGACTATATAGTCTGAACTGTAGACTACACTATATAGTTTGAACTATAGACTAGACTATAGTCTGAACTATAGACTAGACTATAGTCTGAACTATAGACTAGACTATAGTCTGAACTATAGACTAGACTATAGTCTGAACTATAGACTAGACTATAGTCTAAACTATAGACTAGACTATAGTCTGAACTATAGACTAGGCTATAGTCTGAACTGTAAACTAGACTATAGTCTGAACTGTAAACTAGACTATAGTCTGAACTGTAACTAGACTATAGTCTGAACTGTAAACTAGACTATAGTTTGAACTAAAGACTAGACTATAGTCGGAACTATAGACTAGATTATCGTCGGAACTATACACAAGACTATAGTCTGAACTATAGACTAGATTATAATCTGCACTATAGACTAGACTATACTCTGAACTATAGACTAGACTATAGTCTAAACTATAGACTAGTCTATAGTCTGAACTATATACTAGACAATAGCCTGAACTACTGACTATACTATAGACTTGAACTATAGTCTGAACCATATGCTATATAATAGTCTGAACCATGTGCTAGATAATAGTCTGAACCATATACTAGATAATAGTCTGAACTATAGACTAGACTATAGTCTGAACTATAGACTAGACTTTAGTCTGAAGTATAGATTAGACTATAGTCAGAACTATAGAATAGACTATAGTCTGAACTATAGACTAGATTATAGTCTGAACTATAGACTAGACTATAGTTAAGACTATATTAAACTATTTAAAAAAACCTAGGTTTCGAAAAAATCAATTATTTTACCAAAAACTGCTGAAATCATATGGTAATAATAAAACGATTTGCCAAAAAATATGTACTTTTTATTTTCTTAAATCTTAAAATTAAATTAAAATATGTATAAAATTATAAAACAAATTTTATTTTTCGGTAACTGGAACACCCATAATGCTAATAACACCACAAGCTATTGGTTCGCCCACAGAATTTTCTTCATTTTGAAATGCTTGATTATTTGGTAGAGCATGTAGAGATGATGAAAATATATCAGCATTTAGAGCCGTATTCAAATCAATGGGTTTTTCATGTATAACAATGGAACGTCCTATAATGCCATTATAACCAAACAAAGTTAAATAGACACTGATAAAGGCCACATTTATCTCGCCGCCTTCTTTCACATCGATATTGCCCAACTAAAATTGGAAAAAAATATAACATTAAAATGTTGAAATTTCCTTTTTCAAAATTTACTCACAAAATTATTTGGAAATTGTCCTCCAGTCGATTTACAGCCATCTGTTAGATCGCCATAGGTGTGTATGTGTAGAGCATGTTTACCCGCTGGTATACCTGTGGCATTTAGGGTTACCTTAATGTCATTATTGTAGGGTAACTGTTGGAAAGTTATCATGCCATCTATACCTTCACCAGTTATTTTAGCTCCTGCCTGCCATTGTGGTGCCACCTAAAGGACAATGTTAGAAAGTTTTATGGATTTGGATAAGGGAGAGAAAATGCTTGCTATGATTGTGAGGTTTTAGGCCAATTATAAACATTTTAAATCTTGTTAAAAAACGATGAAGACTTTGATCTGCCAGTAATCGAAAAATTAACTAAATTCGTTCGGAAAAGAAGATAAAACTTGTAAAAATTTTAAAAAACTCCGCTTATCTGATATATACACTCGAGCTGGTTTTAAGAAGGTTCATATATCTAGTATGCTAGTGTCATATGAGGCCCGATCATTAGCCAAAATCAACAGTAACATTTAGACTTATACATCACTAAGTTGTAGAGATACTAGAACATTTAACAAAATTATGAGCTCAAAAGTCCTATTTGGGTGGTACGTTTGTATGAGGGCTAGGTAAAATAATGGACCGATTTCAACGATTTTCAATAGACTTTATTTTCATTTCAATATCCTGATTGCGATTTGTATCGTTCGTACTAGGTTTACATGGATTCACAGGTGGACAGACAGACAAACAGATAGGAAATCGATAGGCTTAACCTTCGTCCAGGGAAAATTTAGGAATAACTTGTTCTAGAGCAAGAAGTACCATTTCATATTCTAAAACAGTAACTAAACCTAAGAGGAATATTTGTTCTCTAAAGATTCGGAAGAACTGGTTCCGAAGATGACAATTTGACGAAAATTTTCAGAATTCCGGTAGAATATATTCTTAAATAGTAACTAAACCTAAGAGAAATATTTGTTCTCTAAAGATTTGGAAGAACTGGTTCCGAAGATGACAATTTGACGAACATTTTCAGAATTCCGGTTTCATATGTATCAAGATTCACACGAAAAAAATCATATGAACAAGAAATGTAAAATTTAATTTAGTATTCAATGAATTTTTATGATGATTTAATTCTGATCTACAGTCCTGACAATGTCTAGTCTACAGTCCAGAATAAAATATAGTCTACGTTACAGACTATAGTCTAGACTACAGTCAAGACAGTCAACTCTATAGTTCAGACTATAGTCTAATCTGCAGCCCAGGCTATAGTCTAGCCAGCACTAGTCTACAATTCAGACTATAATTCGTCTACAGGCAAGACTATAGAGTATGGACTAGACAATAGTCTGGAGTATAGAATTGACTATAGTCTGAATTATAGACTAGACCATAGTCTGAACTGTAGACTAGACTATAGTCCGAACTATAGTCTAGTTATAGTTCAGACTATAGTCTAGCCTACAGTACAAACAATGCTCTGGTGTATAGTCAAGACTATAATCTAGTCTACAGTCGGAACTATAATCTAGTTTATAGTCCAGACCATATTCTAGTCTGTAGTCCAGTCCCAGTCTAGTCTACAGACCAGATTGTTTTTTAATATACAGTCCAGATTTTTGTCTTGTCTACAGTTATGATCATAGTCTATTCTATAGTCCAACCTATAGTGTACTCTACAGTCCAGACAATAGTCTAATGTTCAGTCCAGGCTATAGTCTAGCCTACAGTACAGACAATGCTCTGGTGTATAGTCAAGACTATAATCTAGTTTACAGTCCAGACCATATTCTAGTCTGTAGTCCAGTCCCAGTCTAGCCTACAGACCACATTTTTTTTAATCTACAGTCCAAACTATAGTCTAGACTATTGTCTACTCCAGACTATAGTCTAGTCCACACTCCAGACTATAGTCTTATCTATACTCCAGACTATAGTCTAGTCTATACTCCAGACTATAGTCTAGTCTATATCCCTGACTATAGTCAATTCAATACTCCAGACTATTGTCTAGTCTATACTCCAAACAATAGTCTAGTCCATACTCCAGACTATAGTCTATATTCCAGGCTATAGTTTGGTCTACAGTTCAGACTATAGTCTAGTTTATATAGTTAAGTTTTTAGTCCATACTATTTTCTACTTTATAGTCCAGTATATAGTATATAGTACAGACTGTTAGTTCAGACTGACTCATTTTTAAATCTCTACATTCTTACCCGTACCGGATAGTATGGCCAACCTGTTACAAATAAAGGCCTAAAATTATTAAAATATTGGAAATGTGGACGTACATAATACAACGACGGTTGAGGTTGCAAAAGATTTACCGTTCCACCCAAAGGCACTGTAAAACGTTCGAAACGCTTCACTTTTGTGCCGGAAACAATTTTCACTTGTTCATCGACACCAACACTAGATAAATTTGAACTGGGACGAAAACGATCTAGAATACTTTGAGCCGCAATAGTATGATCATTGATCAAATTACACACAATTATTATAATGACACAGAAGTATTTAAGTATTTGGAGTGAATGAACCGTTAGAAATGACATGATTACAATTTAATTGGACGCGCGTAATGAAAGTGAAAATGTTTTGAAAAATAAAAATAAAATATTATTATGTTATTTTTAAGCGTTTGATAGTTTTGTAGCTGACCCGTTCGGTTTAAGAGTTAAGTAAAAACTAAATTTTATTTTCAAAAATTAATAATATTAAAGTAAATCTACATTTATTGACAGTTAGTTAAGGTTTAAAAACTAAATTGTATTTTGCTAGTAAATAGTTGATACTTGGGCATGTCATGCTGATTGCTTGATTTAATTAGAGAAGAGGGAATCTTGTCTATCTTTACTTTATTCTAAATTCCCGGTGTTTTTTTTTTTTTTGACCCAGTCTATTGCATTCCCATTTTGGTTTTCTTTGTGACGTTCTATTTTCAATTGTGTTAGTGGGTGGGTGTTTGATTTCGTATTAAGAGGCTTTTAGCTGCAGGTGTTGAGTGGGGCTTTTAGCAACAACGTTTGTGCAGTCACCGTAATGATCACATAATTTGATATTGTCAATACTGGTAGATGATTCTAACTAATAAATTGCATGCTATTCTTTCATTGGAATTTGTTTTTATTGTTTTTTTTTCTATTCTTTTTATATTCGATATTATTGAAATAGTATGTACAATATAATTAACTGAGAGGTCTTTGATGTATTTTACACTTTTGTTGGAAACATTGTGGTTAAGGGATTGTAATTTGGTTTAATAGAAAACATTGGTTTGGGGTTTTAGATTTTTTTATCTATTTTTTTGGCGCTGAAAAAGTTAAGAAGTACTTTTATAGTCTAGAGTCTAGACTATAGTTTGGCTATCCAACCTATAGTTTAAAATAAAGTCCAAACTATAATCCAATCTATATCTAGACCATAGTCTAGTCTATAGTATAGTCTATAGTCTAGTCTATAGTCTAGTCTATAGTCTAGTCTATAGTCTAGTCTATAGTCTAGTCTATAGTCTAGTCTATAGTCTAGTCTATAGTCTAGTCTATAGTCTAGTCTATAGTCTAGTCTATAGTCTAGTCTATAGTCTAGTCTATAGTCTAGTCTATAGTCTAGTCTATAGTCTAGTCTATAGTCTAGTCTATAGTCTAGTCTATAGTCTAGTCTATAGTCTAGTCTATAGTCTAGTCTATAGTCTAGTCTATAGTCTAGTCTATAGTCTAGTCTATAGTCTAGTCTATAGTCTAGTCTATAGTCTAGTCTATAGTCTAGTCTATAGTCTAGTCTATAGTCTAGTCTATAGTCTAGTCTATAGTCTAGTCTATAGTCTAGTCTATAGTCTAGTCTATAGTCTAGTCTATAGTCTAGTCTATAGTCTAGTCTATAGTCTAGTCTATAGTCTAGTCTATAGTCTAGTCTATAGTCTAGTCTGTAGTCTAGTCTATAGTCTAGTCTATAGTCTAGTCTATAGTCTAGTCTATAGTCTAGTCTATAGTCTAGTCTATAGTCTAGTCTATAGTCTAGTCTATAGTCTAGTCTATAGTCTAGTCTATAGTCTAGTCTATAGTCTAGTCTATAGTCTAGTCTATAGTCTAGTCTATAGTCTAGTCTATAGTCTAGTCTATAGTCTAGTCTATAGTCTAGTCTATAGTCTAGTCTATAGTCTAGTCTATAGTCTAGTCTATAGTCTAGTCTATAGTCTAGTCTATAGTCTAGTCTATAGTCTAGTCTATAGTCTAGTCTATAGTCTAGTCTATAGTCTAGTCTATAGTCTAGTCTATAGTATAGTCTCTATAGTCTAGTCTATAGTCTAGTTATAGTCTAGTCTATAGTCTAGTCTATAGTCTAGTCTATAGTCTAGTCTATAGTCTAGTCTATAGTCTAGTCTATAGTCTAGTCTATAGTAGTCTAGTCTATAGTCTAGTCTATAGTCTAGGTCTATAGTCTAGTCTATAGTCTAGTCTATAGTCTAGTCTATAGTCTAGTCTATAGTCTAGTCTATAGTCTAGTCTATAGTCTAGTCTATAGTCTATTCTATAGTCTAGTCTATAGTCTAGTCTATAGTCTAGTCTATAGTCTAGTCTATATCTAGGTCTATAGTCTAGTCTATAGTCTAGTCTATAGTCTAGTCTATAGTCTAGTCTATAGTCTAGTCCTATAGTCTAGTCTATAGTCTAGTCTATAGTCTAGTCTATAGTCTAGGTCTATAGTCTAGTCTATAGTCTAGTCTATAGTCTAGTCTATAGTCTAGTCTAGTCTAGTCTAGTCTGTCTATAGTCTAGTCTATAGTGGTAGTCTAGAGTCTATAGTCTAGTCCTATAGTGCTAGTCTATAGTTCTAGTCTATAGTTAGCTATAGGCTAGTCTATAGTCTAGTCTATAGTCTAGTCTTATAGTCTAGTCTATAGTCTAGTCTATAGTCTAGTCTATAGTCTAGTCTATAGTCTAGTCTATAGTCTAGTCTATAGTCTAGTCTATAGTCTGTCATAGTCTAGTCTATAGTCTAGTCTATAGTCTAGTCTATAGTCTAGTCTATAGTCTAGTCTATAGTCTAGTCTATAGTCTAGTCTATAGTAGATAGTCTAGTCTATAGTTAGTCTAGTCTATAGTCTAGTCTAGTCTATAGTAGTCTATAGTCTAGTCTATAGTCTAGTCTATAGTCTAGTCTATAGTCTAGTCTATAGTCTAGTCTATAGTCTAGTCTATAGTCTAGTCTATAGTCTAGTCTATAGTCTAGTCTATAGTCTAGTCTATAGTCTAGTCTATAGTCTAGTCTATAGTCTAGTCTATAGTCTAGTCTATAGTCTAGTCTATAGTGTAGTCTATAGTCTAGTCTATAGTCTAGTCTATAGTCTAGTCTAGTCTATAGTCTATAGTCTAGTCTATAGTCTAGTCTATAGTCTAGTCTATAGTCTAGTCTATAGTCTAGTCTATAGTCTAGTCTATAGTCTAGTCTATAGTCTAGTCTATAGTCTAGTCTATAGTCTAGTCTATAGTCTAGTCTATAGTCTAGTCTATAGTCTAGTCTATAGTCTAGTCTATAGTCTAGTCTATAGTCTAGTCTATAGTCTAGTCTATAGTCTAGTCTATAGTCTAGTCTATAGTCTAGTCTATAGTCTAGTCTATAGTCTAGTCTATAGTCTAGTCTATAGTCTAGTCATAGTCTAGTCTATAGTCTAGTCTATAGTCTAGTCTATAGTCTAGTCTATAGTCTAGTCTATAGTCTAGTCTATAGTCTAGTCTATAGTCTAGTCTATAGTCTAGTCTATAGTCTAGTCTATAGTCTAGTCTATAGTCTAGTCTATAGTCTAGTCTATAGTCTAGTCTATAGTGTAGTCTATAGTCTAGTCTATAGTCTAGTCTATAGTCTAGTCTATAGTCTATAGTCTATAGTCTAGTCTAGTCTATAGTCTAGTCTATAGTCTAGTCTATAGTCTAGTCTATAGTCTAGTCTATAGTCTAGTCTAGTCTAGTCTATAGTCTAGTCTATAGTCTAGTCTATAGTCTAGTCTATAGTCTAGTCTATAGTCTAGTCTATAGTCTAGTCTATAGTCTAGTCTATAGTCTAGTCTATAGTCTAGTCTATAGTCTAGTCTATAGTCTAGTCTATAGTCTAGTCTATAGTCTAGTCTATTAGTCTAGTCTATAGTCTTAGTCTATAGTCTAGTCTATAGTCTAGTCTATTAGTCTAGTCTATAGTCTAGTCTATAGTCTAGTCTATAGTCTAGTCTATAGTCTAGTCTATAGTCTAGTCTATAGTCTAGTCTATAGTCTAGTCTATAGTCTAGTATATAGTCTAGTCTTTAGTCTAGTCTATAGTCTAGTCTATAGTCTAGTCTTAGTCTATTCTATAGTCTAGTCTATAGTCTAGTCTATTAGTCTAGTCTATAGTCTATAGTCTAGTCTATAGTCTAGTCTATTAGTCTAGTCTATAGTCTAGTCTATAGTCTACTATAGTCTAGTCATAGTCTAGTCTATAGTCTATAGCTAGTCTATAGTCTAGTCTATAGTCTAGGTCTATAGTCTAGTCTATAGTCTAGTCTATAGCTAGTCTATAGTCTAGTCTATAGTCTAGTCTTAGCTAGTCTAGTCTATAGTCTAGTCTATAGTCTAGTCTATAGTCTAGTCTATAGTCTAGTCTATAGTCTAGTCTATAGTCTAGTCTATAGTCTAGTCTATAGTCTAGTCTATAGTCTAGTCTATAGTCTAGTCTATAGTCTAGTCTATAGTCTAGTCTATAGTCTAGTCTATAGTCTAGTCTATAGTCTAGTCTATAGTCTAGTCAATAGTCTAGTCTATAGTCTAGTCTATAGTCTAGTCTATAGTCTAGTCTATAGTCTAGTCTATAGTCTAGTCTATAGTCTAGTCTATAGTCTAGTCTATAGTCTAGTCTATAGTCTAGTCTAGTCTATAGTCTAGTCTAGTCTATAGTCTAGTCTATAGTCTAGTCTATAGTCTAGTCTATAGTCTAGTCTATAGTCTAGTCTATAGTCTAGTCTATAGTCTAGTCTATAGTCTAGTCTATAGTCTAGTCTATAGTCTAGTCTATAGTCTAGTCTATAGTCTAGTCTATAGTCTAGTCTAGTCTATAGTCTAGTCTATAGTCTAGTCTATAGTCTAGTCTATAGTCTAGTCTATAGTCTAGTCTATAGTCTAGTCCTATAGTCTAGTCTATAGTCTAGTCTATAGTCTAGTCTATAGTCTAGTCTATAGTCTAGTCTATAGTCTAGTCTATAGTCTAGTCTATAGTCTAGTCTATAGTCTAGTCTATAGTCTAGTCTATAGTCTAGTCTATAGTCTAGTCTATAGTCTAGTCTATAGTCTAGTCTATAGTCTAGTCTATAGTCTAGTCTATAGTCTAGTCTATAGTCTAGTCTATAGTCTAGTCTATAGTCTAGTCTATAGTCTAGTCTTATAGTCTAGTCTATAGTCTAGTCTATAGTCTAGTCTATAGTCTAGTCTATAGTCTAGTCTATAGTCTAGTCTATAGTCTAGTCTATAGTCTAGTCTATAGTCTAGTCCTATAGTCTAGTCTATAGTCTAGTCTATAGTCTAGTCTATAGTCTAGTCTATAGTCTAGTCTATAGTCTAGTCTATAGTCTAGTCTATAGTCTAGTCTATAGTCTAGTCTAGTCTATAGTCTAGTCTATAGTCTAGTCTATAGTCTAGTCTATAGTCTAGTCTATAGTCTAGTCTATAGTCTAGTCTATAGTCTAGTCTATAGTCTAGTCTATAGTCTAGTCTATAGTCTAGTCTATAGTCTAGTCTATAGTCTAGTCTATAGTCTAGTTTAGTCTAGTCTATAGTCTAGTCTATAGTCTAGTCTTAGTCTAGTCTATAGTCTAGTCTATAGTCTAGTCTATAGTCTAGTCTAGTCTATAGTCTAGTCTATAGTCTAGTCTATAGTCGTCTATAGTCTATAGTCTAGTCTATAGTCTAGTCTATAGTCTAGTCTATAGTCTATAGTCTAGTCTATAGTCTAGTCTATAGTCTAGTCTATAGTCTAGTCTATAGTCTAGTCTATAGTCTAGTCTATAGTCTAGTCTATAGTCTAGTCTATAGTCTAGTCTATAGTCTAGTCTATAGTCTAGTCTATAGTCTAGTCTATAGTCTAGTCTAGTATAGTCTATAGTCTAGTCTATAGTCTAGTCTATAGTCTAGTCTGTAGTCTAGTCTGTAGTCTATGGTCCAATTCATAGTGTAGTTTATATTCCAGACTATAATATAGTCTCTTCTTCCATTCTATAGTTTAGTCTCTACTTATAGTCTAGACTATAGTATAGTTTTAAAGAAATTTTTTGTTTATAAAATCCAGTTTTTATCCCCGTTTCACCACTGTTTAGAACATTTCAATAAAAAAAAATATTTCAATTATAAAACAAACAACCTTTGAATAAGTTTATTTTTCTAAACACGCCATCACCAGCAGCTAATATCAATAAAATAAGTAAATAAAACAGACTGATAGTCGGAGAGACAGTCAGTCATTAAGCCCAAAAACTATCATGTGTGAAAATCTGACTTCAATTTTGACACAATCAAATTTTAAACATAATTTAAAAAAATAAAATTAAACTTAATTAGTTTACACAAATAAATGAAGTCGTAAAACAATTGTAATTGTTTAATAAACAATTTATTTTCAATAGTAAAATGCTGTAATAACAATAATTTATACATGCGCTGTTAATATTAAAAACAAATTATAAACTTTTTTTTAATAAATATTACTTATTATCCAAGGTATAAATGTTCTCACATTTGTATAGATGCCCGGCAAATTATGTCTACCGCCACAGGCCTTACTTCCTGCCGAGGTAATGCCAAATTGTACATAACGCCGTTGATAGTGTTCATAAGGAACGGCAGTGAATAAAGGGCCACCAGAATCAGCTCTACAGGTGCTACGTTTATCGACACCACCAGCACATAGTTTTTCCTCAGTGAGAGCAGGATTTTGTTGATAGATATTTTGACAAACCGCCAAAGGTTTGTAGCGGCAAAGAGGCTTTCAGTAAAATTTCAGAGGCATAACCTAAGGATAGTTATAAAGTTAAAATTTAAAAAAGTCTGACAGTTCAAACTTTTTTCTTAATTCTTTTTTACTTTAACCCTCACTTACCTTTTTCTGTAACTCCCCAACCGGCTACAATTTGTTCGGTGGGTATTTCATTATTAATTCGAGCATCAATGGGTAAACATACCGGTTTAATATGACCTTTTCATTTAAAAATATTATTAGATTCTTTAGAGGGTTTTTGAAATTTAGAAAAAAAAACTTACTTTGAAATTCCACCGGTCTTACCAATCTTATTAGGGCAATATCATTGTCTAAAGTATTGGCATTATATTCAGGATGTAAAATAATAGTTTCAATGTCTACATCTTCATAGGGAGGAGCACAATAGGAAACTACATGGGGTTTTTTGTGATGTTCACAATCATGTTCGGATTTCAGATCGTGTTCGCCCAAACGTACAGAGATTCTAAGAAAATAGATAAATTAGAAAACAACTTAGAAACAGGAAGAGTGGATTCATGCTTACATATCATTTTTCGCATCGGCACAGTGACCCGCCGTTAATACATATTGATTTGTTATCAAAGTACCCGAACAACGAAATCTTTCTCGTGATTTAACACCCCGAGTTTCGAGT